GGTCCCAGAGTCCCCAAATGGTTTGTTCAGACTTAACATCGGAATGGGAGGAAATGAGGAAGATACATTTGATTATAAATAAAAATGCAATACCAAACACAGGAGCAGCAATACATCCATCTTCAAACACAAGCCTAAGGGTACAATTTATTTTTTCATTATTAAAAAAAATTTTTTTTTCTTGATATCTTGTCCAGGCTGGACCAGAATCCCTGGGCTCCAGTGAGCCTCCTGCCTCAGCCTCCCAAGTAGCGATGACTACAGATGTGTGCCTCCTTGCCCAGCTAACTAACAATTTATTATATTTTAACCCTTGTACATGTTGGTGAGCTAAATGGTATTTTGGTCAGACATCATGACATATTCTTCAATATGAATGGCTCGTAAGAAGGCAAATTTTTGCTTCTAAGTGGAAGCAAATATTATTTGACAGGAAATAAGACCCAGATGCTGTAACCACAAAAGAACATCTGAACTACATCCCACTACAGTGGAAATCTTTAGAGCAAAGCAACTGTATACCAAAATTGTTTTGATGTTCCCAAGTAACTGTTGTGCTGATAATTACCAGGGATCCTTTATAAGTCACTCCAGACAAAATAAAACCCAGAGAAAGATCCAAAAGCTTGAAATTAAGATGGAAAAAAGTTCAAAATTCACCTTCTGGAAACAAAGCCAATTATAAAAAACTTTTTTGGGGGACCATTAAGGAAATTTTAGTATGGACTAGAGGAGGAGTCAGCAAATTAGGGGCTGGGGGCTGTAACTGGGCCCGCTGCCTGTTTCTTTAAAGTATTATTGGGACACAGCCACGTCCATTTGTGTACATGGTGTCCATGGCTGCTTTAATGCTATGACAACAGAGTTGAGTAGTTGTGACTAACGCCACATGACCTCCGAAGCCTCAAATGTTTACTATCTGGCCTTTTACAGAAAGAAGTCTGCTGACCCCTGGCTATGGACGGCATAAAATATTAGGGAACTCGTGCTAATTTTTTTAGGTGTAATAATGATACTGTGGTTATGAAGGAGGATGTCTTGGTTCTTAAGAGAGGCAGTTTAAAATTCACAGAAGTACTGTGATGACTGCAGCGTAGGAAGTTGTTCAGTAAAAGAAAAAAAATGTCAGGATCAAGTTAACATGTCAACATGTCAACCATTTTTGAATCTAAGTGGTGGGGACATGGGTGTTCTGTGCGCTATTTTTTCAGTGATTCTGTGTTTGGAATTTTTCACGATACAAAGCTGGAAAACAATTCACCTATATGGGTGCCCCTCTCTTATTACAGGCTTTTGTTCTAAGTCCCAACTGTTTTTAGATAGAATGGCATTTTTAGGAAAGGACTCAGCACAACAAACTTCTACTAAAACAGTGAAATG